TGTTCAAATTACATGAGTGCAAAAGAACTTACTAACAAATGCAATAAGCGGAGTGTTAGTTGGAATTCTGCCCACAACTTCTTGCAGTGTTGTTCCAATCTGAAACAAGTAACAATTAAGGAAGTTGGTTGTTTATTGCATATGTACAAAAAGGTTCTTAATGTTACCTCAAAGATGTGGAATAAATAACTTTCATTTTCATTGAAGTATTTTAGAACACTTCGTATTATTATGTTTTCAGAGCATTCTTCTTTTTCGAAGTCTTTCTTAGTTTCCTTGTTATACATGGTTTCGAAAAACTTGAGTGTTAGGTCCTTGGATTCGTTAAAGTTTTTTAAAAAGGAATCTTCCTTAATTTTAGTCGATTGAAGAAAATGCTGAATCAAGCATTCTTCATGGAAAATGTATGGCCAGTTTTCTTTTATGGTAGCTATCGAAGGGACTGGATCCATTTCATTAAATTCTTTCCGTTGTAGTGGGAAACAATCCCTAATGTACATATAAAAATATCCCTCGAAAATTTTATTTAAAAATTGTAATGTAGTTGATTGATTTATCCTTATTAATACATATGTGTAAACTAAATGGTTCCATTTGAAAAGACAATCTTAACTAATAGCCAAATATAAATTTAGTTTAGTAAGTAGAGTGGAGTACTAAACTTACATTTTTTGAATTGTTTTCATGCAAATAGAGGAATATTAACACGAAATCGACACCTGAGAGGAAGATCGACGTATCCTTATCTCAGCACATTTTCAATACATATTCATTTGAGGTAGGTCGTTTTTGAACCGAAATCTGAAATAGGGCCTTCTTAAACCAAATTCTGGGATAGGGTGTTTTTCAATAAAACTCTGAAATAGGACGTTCTTCAATAAAATTCTGAAGTAGGGCGTTCTTGAAAAGTTTTCTGATATAGGGCGTTCTTGAAAAGTTTTCTGATATAGGGCGTTTTCGAACTGGCTGCCGAGATAGGTCGATCTTCCACTCAGGTGTCGAAATATGACTACTATTTTCTTATATAAAAAAATAATAAATGTGAAGTAAATACATATCGTCGCCCTTATGCCAGAAGCATGAATGTGCAAATTTATCAATTTTGAGTTATTGGGTTGACTTGATTAATCTTTGGATGTCCTATGTTATACCAAAACCCAGAATACAATGCGTACGCGGAAACCACATATTTCACAATGTCAATTACATGAATGCAGAGTTAAGTCTCGTAAAAAAATTCAAACTTGATTTTCCAAAATTTTAATTTCTACACATTCATGTTTCTGGCACGATATGTACTTGCCGATTTGTTTACAAAAATTATTTAAAAATCAGACGTCTCGGTTGCACAGCAAATCGGTTAATCGTTTCTGCAATTATTTCACATAGATTCTCTAAAACAAATTTTCGATGTAGGCTTAAAATGCAAAAACTTAAAGGTAAATTTTATAAGAAATTAAACTGACAATTTATGAAAACTAGTAGTAACCCCCGAAATTCAGGTGAATGCAGTAATTTAAGCATATGGGCAAATTTAAAAAATATGTACACTTTCAAAATAAAAATTTTAATTTTTAAATTTGTGAGCACACCTTTATTTTATATATCATTTTTTATTTATTTATTTATTTATTAATAGGCAATGTATTACACATCTAAGACCATGTCTTTTATAGTGCATCCGACGAAATAGTAACAAAATATTATTACATATACATACATATTAAAAAAACTAAGCTAAGTAGAATTGGAATAATAAATACATACAACAAAATTAATCTTAAATTACATTAGACACTAATAGTATACATAGGCAGGGTAGAGATTGTTAGAAAAGATAGTGGGAGAAAAAATAAAAAGAAGTAAAGAATTAAAAGATATTGCAACCACTTCCATAGCATTACAAATCATTGTACACGGTCAAAAATTTGGGTTTAATTTTTAAACCGCGCTGGGACTACTGCCTTTTTTAAACTTTTATAGTCTACTTTTTAAACCAGTCAAAAGTTTTACGCAATTTTTAATATATTCTGGTTTAAATTTTAGCCCAAAAAGTTCGTGGTTTAAAAATCAAACCAAAATGTTTTAATTCTGTTTCTAGATTTCAAATATAGAAAATTTGGTTTAAAATCTAAACCGAAATAGAATATGTTTGCACAACGAACTGTGGTGTTGATTCAAACTCAACATATGAAAGCACATTTACATGCGTGGCTGTAGCTGAGTGTGCAAAGGTGCTTGATACAATTGGTTGCTACCAAGGCTGTCCGGGTTCAATCCCAACCAGACGGAGCATGGAATTTAAGATTGTTTTTTTTTTATTCTTAATTATGAGAAAGTTTGGGTTTAACATTTAAACGGAATTGTTTAAATTCTAAACTCAACATATGTGCTCTCTTTTTTTTAAACTTGGAAGGTTTGTATTTGAAACTGAATTTAGTTTGGTCATATATGTAGTCCAAAAAGTTTAAAATTAAAACCGAAATTTTTAACCGTGTAGTAATTGTATATTACTGCTTTGTAGTTCCTTAAATTTAGTGCAGACTTGGTAGATTCCGGCAGAGAGTTCCAAAGCCTCGCAGCGTTAATGAAAAACATTCTAGAAGATGGTAAAAGGGTGTATCTTGGGATAAGAAGGCTATGATGTCGACTAGACTTGGTCAGTCGCAACTTTTCATACAAATAATTTGGAGATTGCAACGCAAGCAATCTATATAAAAATATACAGTTCCTCGCAGCAAGATAGTTCTCGATACTGCACCCCAGGATTTTATTCTTCCACAGGGAGATATGATCAGATTTGTTTAGTCCATAAACATATCTAGTAAGGTTATTGAACGCAACATTGATTTTGTAGGAGGAGATAGAGTCGAGTTTACTGTATACAGTCTCAGAGTACGTAATGAGGGACACTATGAGTTGCTTAGCCAACTTGCGCCTGGTATCTTGTGGTGTAA